AAACTGATTCGAATTCACATTGATTAGGTTCGAAATTTTAATTATCAAATTATTGAAAATAAAATCGAACAGTTCAAACTTTATGTACCTTTTTGTTAACCTTTGTATTTTGTCTACAATTTTCTCTTTTTTGTCGATATTTTCGTATTGAAATTCCTATAGACTATGGCTTGTAGCTCACTTTCAAAAAAACCTTATCAGCCGAGTATCGGTAAGAAGTTCTCATAAAATATAGCAGTTAAAATAAACTGACCTAATAATTAATGCACTTGAAAAACGAGCAGAAAGCAACATGTTAGATGAAGTAATTTCTCCATTGATCGAATCAAATTTGGAAGATTCCGCAATAACCATTTATTTTTTCGAGTCAAAAGTGGATCTTCTTGAGGTTACCTATCTTTCTTGAGGTGGTTCTAGATATCTTTATTATTTCTTTTTAAATGATATATTTGTTAAAAATACTTAAACTATACAGTTTTTTATCACATACTTGAATTTTGTTCGCCTTTCTCAAAACGTTTGAGTGGACTGTATTTATGTAATAAATGCAGGAAAGACTATAAAATAGGAACGTAGTTGAATGTTTTCAAAAGTTTATAGGAGAAAAAGGAAGCTTCGCATTATCTAATCTTCAAAAGTGTGTTTATACTGCATGTGAAGTACCTCTGTATTTATGTATGCCTGTCACTATTTAAAACTTTTGTTTTAATAAAAACTTGTTGGTTAATTTTTAAGTGTATTATTTAAAACTTGTTTTTTAAAAGTACATAAAACATTTTAAAAGAAGTCGAGTATTTAGACATTTAGAGTTCTTCTGAAGAGTAAACAGTGTTTCTAAAATCGAAAAAAAATTGAAGACCTTTCTCCCGTTCCATGGTAAACTGTATTTTTGGGTGGATATTATTAATGTGTTGTAGGAACTCGTTAAGCTTCTCTTCTCCATGTGTCCAGATAATAAATGTGTCATCAACATACCTAAGCCACAGTTTGGGTTTATGCTCTGCTGTTTCTATTGCTTTTGATTCTATATCTTCCATAAAAAGGTTGGCTATTACGGGTGACAGTGGTGAACCCATCGGTGCCCCTTCAACTTGTTTGTACCTCTGGTCCTTGTAGATGAAATAGGTGTTGTTTAATCAGTGCCTCGTCAGGTTTAATGTATCCTGTGGTATTGGATATTTTCTGCGTATAATTTCTAATGATTCTTCTACTGGCACATTGGTGAATAATGAGACTACATCAAAGCTCACTAGTGACACACAAATACACAAAACCAAACGTAGACTTCTCAGAGAGTATAAAAGATTCAGAGACCCAATCATCAAAACAGAATACAATAGGCTCTCGGCGGTCATAAGACTCGAGGTGAACAAGCTGAAACAAAGACAGTGGATGCGAGTCACCTCGGACCTCGACTACCGGGATGGCTCTGCATTCTGGAATAAACTCAAAGTCCTAACAAGACAAAAAAGTCAGCCACGATCTCATCTCAAAATCAATAATGTCATCCTAAATAATCCACAAGACAAGGCCGAAGCATTCAAAAACACACTTCAGGCCACCCTCGTTTCACCCAATAACCCAAACTTCAGCGAAAGATCCAAAAGAGCCACCGAACGGAGAGTGGAAGATATATTCTATTACCCTCAGCCACTTGACGGACCACATCCTCATCCGATGATGGCGCCAGTGACTGAGGAAACCGTCAGTCAGATGTGTAAAATAGGAAAAAACACGTCTCCTGGCCCAGATGGCATCCACAGAAGATGCCTCAAAAATCTTCCACAGAATATCATCCCGTTGCTTACTAATATAATCAATGCATCTCTTGCGCTGAGCTACTTTCCTATCCCGTGGAAAGTGGCCAGCACCGTCATGGTCCCTAAAAAAGGGAAAACCCTAACCAACCCTGAATCGTATAGACCAATTTCTTTACTGAGCACCCTAGGTAAAGTCTACGAGAGGATCCTTAAGGAGAGACTCGTAGAATTCCTAGACGCTCACTTCCTCATTCCAAACTACCAATTCGGATTCAGGGCTGGACACTCCACACAAAATGCATTGATTGAAGCAACAACCTTCATTTCACAATCCATTAACGAAAGGAAGCACGTCGTAGGCATCTTCCTCGATGTCCAGAAGGCTTTCGATCAGGTCTGGCACGCAGGCCTGATCGAGAAACTCCACCTTGCTGGACTGCCAACACCTTTCGTTAAACTAATAAATTCCTATCTCTCCCATCGGACGGTTCGGATCAAAATAGGAGAGCATCTCTCCACTCCATTCACTCCTCAAGCAGGAGTGCCCCAAGGCTCAATACTTGCTCCAATATTATACACAGTATACAATAGCGACATCCCCCGCCCACAGCAAGGATCAGAGTCTCTCCTCCTATTTGCTGATGATACAGCCATTCTTACCTCAGGCTCCTACAGGGAAGGAGAGCGACGGTCTGTATTCGAGAAATCGCAAGATTATCTTGACAGAGTCGTGAGGTGGTGCAACAAATGGAGGGTTACGTTAAACCCATCCAAAACCCAAGCAATATTATTCAGACCCCCATACGGACGCGGCCTTCAGGGCCGGGTGACACTTTTGGGAGAGGACCTTATTCTCAGGAACTCAGTTCTCTACTTGGGAGTTCGTTTTACGAGAACTCTCAGCTGGAAGGCTGACGTCCAAGAATCCCTTGACAGGATGAGAAAAAGGCTCAACCTCCTGAAAGTGTTGGCCGGTAAACTAGGAGGAACGTCCACTAGCACTTTGTTGCACACCTACAAGACTTTTATCAGACCGATTATCGAATACAAGGCATGCGTTTACCTCTCCCTGAGGAACCACGAACTTAATGCCATCACTGCCACAGAGCGTAGAATACTACGTTTCTGCATGAGAAAAGACTGGTTGTATCCATCAGCCCACATACACGCATTAGCTAACATCACGCCTATTAAGGACAGAATCCTAACCCTCAGTAGGAAGTATGTCCTAAGAACCATAGCTGGCTCGAACAACCGAGCAAAACAAACACTAAAGACACCTTGCACACATAGAGGGCAAATACTCACCAGGCATCCCGCCAAAAAAGTTCCATTCCCTCCAGCTAAACTTCTGCACAACGCTGGACCTGAACTTCCTGATGAGTATTTTGATATTTTAGAATCTTTCCCCATATACTATCGCAGATAAGCTGCGCACCAAAAACGCTGATAAAGAGCCGTTCCTACTGTATGGCTGGTAACCCTGAAGTACCTCACTGCATGCTAGGCGACCCCCAATTCTTCTTGTGCGTTCACGATTCTTATCGATCACAAAATAAGCCACCTTCTTTTCCCCTTCTTCCTTAGCAGTTCTCTGCTTCTTAGGCCGCGTTTCGATCAGTTGACGTCTTATCTCGTAACCACCACAACTCCGTCAAAAAAAAAAGGAGTTCCCCGTTCCTTGAAGAGGCGTAAGCCTAAACAAGGTTAAAACTTAAGGTTAAGGTTCGACCGAGAAATCAGTTCTCCTGAAACATCAAGACGAAGCAGAACTAATCTGACTTGACAATGGCAAGTGTGACCTTGCCGAAACGTCGTCAAAACAATGGTTTTTCTAAAAACCATAATTACTTAACGCGGAGTCAAACCCGGAAAACAACTGAAATCATATATATATATATATATAATATATATATATATATATATATATATATATATATATATATATATATATATATATATATATATATATATATATATCTGACGATCATTGCATCTTCGACATCTTCTCTCCATGACCGTCTTAACCTACTACCTCGTTTTCTTCTAGTAGGGGAGTTCATTTTTCTATCTTTTTGGCCATCTATTTTCAGGCGTTCTCTGCAGGAGCGTTATTATATGCAATAAACAATGTACTGTACGATAAATTGTAAAGTTTATTATAAACAAGTTACAGTTTGACATTAAAGGTACATACTACAAAATTAAGATAGCAATAAAACAACAAATTTTTCAAATTTGCTCCAGTTGTCACTGAGTAAAATACTATAATTACTTTAGAAGTCAAAGTCGTATAAAATGGATTTCATTTATCATCACTAAAATATAATAAAATGTAATATTGCTTAAAAATAAGCATAACAAAATAAATATGTATCAACGAAATATATGAACTGGGCAAAATTTTAAAATAATCCAGGTACAAATTGTTCATTTAATTTAAAGATACACATATGAGTAGTATCTTGGGGACTGCTCTAAGATACTGCGAGCCCAGGCGCATGAATGATGAATTCATCCAAAACCAATATGTAATAATTTTATTTTTCTGAATTAGAATTTATTTAACTATTATAAATTAAACAGATACAAATAAGCGTATTTAATTCTGTACTAGAGGACCAACTCGACATCGAGTTTTTTAAATGAAATTTTTATTTTGCGAGAAAAATTAAGAGATCAATACAAACAATATAAGCAAGAATATACATAACATTCATCAATAATAATGCAAGTAAAAAGTGTATTAAATATCACGAAATATTTCGTCGAAAACAATGTTTTTTGTTACAATGTCTCCATTTTCTGAAAACTTTTGCTTGGCACCGGGAGTTATGTAAACTTTTACTTTTTACTTTATAATAAAAACGAAACCGGAAGTCGACCTCAATACCGGGATGCAATTTTTAGTTCATCAAATGTCGACATGGATATCATTTAGCAGTTAATTTTGCATGATGATCACGAATCCGGTGTCAGATTTGCTCTATCTTGACGTTTTATGCGCGTTTCGGGTCACTTCCGGTGTCGGATCGCAACCGGAAGTACATATTTAGATTCGTCTCGACGAGACCTTTCGATCCATATATACATTGTGGGGTCTAAAACCTAAAGTAAATTTTAACTTCCGGTCATCTCAAAACCGGAAGTGAATTTTTGTACCAAAAGTATATCTTGACAATCTCATACGTAATACTAATAATATTCCGAAAAAATATTTTAATTATCTAATATGGTTTTTGAGTAAAGTGGTGGACAAGAAAAGGGCTTAGCGTTTTAGTATATAAGATGATTTTGCTAATTACTCAACAATATCTAATACTAATTAACAATTTCAAATATCAACTACAATATATGGTCCAATATGGCGCAAATTAATTGGGCCATATATTGAGTCAGCGTTACCACCGTGTGAAGTCACTCTTACTCGTTTTAAAACGCCATACGGGATCAATAATTGTCTATGTCATTGTGCCAACTTATGTTTGGTAATGATCTGGTTGAAAGTTATCGATTATAGACTCGCAATTGCAAAATTTCCTGAACTTCACTATTTAAGTCAGGTATTGCGCAAACTGGACTAGTTTTATGTTTTTTTTCCTCTGATGACAAAGAGTATCGATAGAGAATAGATCAAGACTGCTTGAAGACCATTTTAAAACAGGAATATTCATTTCCTACTACCATGATATTACCAATTTCGATACACGGCTGCGCTATCTTGTAAAGCAAGAAAATCTTTTAAATATTTAATAATAGAGATAAGTGTTGCTTGTAAGAACAATTTATACCTGGATTATTTACAAATATAGTAATTGAGATTTTTTAAATTAAACACGAAAACAAACAACCACATTACATAAATAACATTAAGTTATATATAATAGTTAGTCAACCTCTAATTTTTTAAAGCTTCCTGCTATTCCAAACACATCGTTCAATTTCTCATTACGTTCTGTTCTTTTACTCTCATCTACGACCAGGGCATCTTGTGCGATTAAAAATTCTTCGTTTTCCACTAATAACTTTTTTACATTTTCTGCAAATTAAATAAATTAGTATAAGAAAAGATATTCAAAACATTTTCTGTAATTCTATACTAATGCGAGAGAAGAGAAGAGTTATTGAAGAGGTATAATACAAATCTTAATCAAAACTAATAGTTTCAACAAACACAAAAAATATAACATCAACAATTGACTATATATTAGAAAATCAGAAATAGGTAGTGACGAATTTCTATCAATAACTAAAATTAAAGAGAAAATAAATCATTAAATACAAATCATAGAATAAAAGTCAACAAACGTTAACTCCATAACATCATCATCATCAGTGGCATTACAGCTCGTCATGAACCAAAGCCTTCTTCAGAACAATCTTCCATTCGCTCCTGTCTCTGGCAACTCTTCTCCATGCTTTAACTCCGATGGATTTTAGATCATTCTCTATGTTATCTTGATACCTAAGTTTTGGTCTTCCTCTGGATCGTCTTCCTACTGGTCCTCTTCGGTCGAAAATTTTTCTGATCGTTGCATCTTCATCTCGCCTAATTACATGTCCTATCCATCGAAGGCGTGCTAATTTGATACATTTTACAATGTCAGGTTCCCCAAAACTTCTGTATAACTCAAAGTTGTAGCGCCTAACGCCACAAACCCTGTTCTTGGACACCTCCATATATTTTCCTCAGAATTTTTCTCTCAAAACGTTTAAGCAGTTCTTGATCGTTCTGTATAAGTGACCACGTTTCTGACCCGTATGTTAACACTGGCCTTATTAGTGTTTTATATATGGTAATTTTAATTTTTCTGGGCAGTTTTGGGGCCATCTGTTTCCTCAAGCCATAATAGCACTTATTGGCAAGCACTATTCTTCTTTTAATTTCTTCGCTGACATTGTTGTCTTTGGTCAGCAGCGAGCCCAGGTAGATGAAGGTGTCCACACCTTCCAGTTCCAGTCAATTAATAGTCTAGGTATCTGGTTGCCTGATCTAGTACAATACATATACTTGGTTTTCTGTGCGTTTATTTTTAATCCTATTCTCAGTGCAGACGCCGTTGATCGAAAAGCTTCGATCAGAGATTCTGTGGATCTAGCAATAATGTCTATGTCATCTGCATATCCGACCACTTGTACAGATTTATTAAAGATGGTGCCATTCGTATTAATTATATACTTCTTCAGTGCAAGGTTAAATAAGAGGCACGACAGTCCATCTCCCTGTCTCAGTCCATTTTTACAACGGAAGGGTCTTAAAAAGTTGTTTTGGATTCTGACTACACTCTCTACGCCTGTAAGTGTAAGTTCTGTTAGTTGAACAAGATGAAGCGGAATTTGAAATTCCACCATAGCCTGTAGAAGTTTTTGTCTGTTGACTGAGTCGTATGCGGCTTTGAAATCCACGAATATGTGGTGGGTGTCGACTCCGAACTCAAGCGTTTTTTCAATAATCTGCCTGACTGTGAAGATTTGATCCGTTGTTTATTTATTGGGTCGGAAACCGCACTAGTAGTTTGCAACTATTTGTTCAGCATAGGGGATCAATCTTCTGTACAATAAGTTAGGTGATAAGTAGGGTGATACTTCTATAATTATCACACACCATCATATCTTCTTTTTTATGAAGAGCGTGCATTACACCTAATTTCCAGTCTGCGAACGTTTCCTTCCGTAGCCAGATTTCGGTTATTAATTTATGCATGTGTTTAAAAAGGTGTCACCACCATTTTTAAAGAGTTCGGCACGAAGATTGTCCAATCCAGGGGCTTTGTTATTTTTCAGTTTTGAAATTGCTTCTCTAATTTCTTCTTCGGTGGGGGCGGCTCTTGAGCGTTTTCATCCATTTCAGGCAAGGTAATTTCTATTTGGTCTTCTTCACGACTGTCGCTAAGCAATTCTTCAAAATGATTTGCCCACCTGTTTAGTATCTGATCTTTGTCACTAATTATGGAACCATCTCTGTCTTTACACGCTGTTATTCTGGGTTTGAATTCTTTTCTGCAGCTGTTTATCTTCTGGTAGAATTTTCGCGAGTCTTTTCTGTTCTGATGAGTTAACAATCTCGTTTAGAGCGTTTTCGTATGACTCTTTCTTTTTCCTTTCTAAACGTCCTTTTTTCTTCTCGTCTAAGATTTTTATAGTCTTCCAGGTTTGATCTCGTTCTGCGCTGCTGAAGTCTCTTGTATGCTTCATTTTTCTGTTCGTTAATGGATTTATATTCTTCGTCAAACCAATCCTCGTTTATTTTAGCCTGGTTAGGTTTTAAAAAGCCTTTAGTCCACTGTATGGATAGCTTCCTTGCATTTGGTCCAGTGTTTTTCTATACTTAAATTTTCGTCGATTCTTGTCCGCTCTTCATTTAAAATTTTCCTGTAGTTATCCATAGCGTCTTTAGATTTTAGCATATCAATATTATATTTTGTAGATTTTGTGCTCTGGCCCTTATTAGCGTTTGATATACGAGCCCTGAGTTTTGTTTTTACAAGGTAGTGGTCAAAGTATATTAGCACCTCTATATGCTCTTACATCTAGTACGTCCGAGAAATGTCGACTTTTAATTAGTACATAGTAAATTAGAATTTTTTGCTTGACCGTCTGGTGATTGCCATGTGGCTTTATGGATGTTAACTCTGTAACGAACATATTTTGCCTACCACAGGGGGCATTAATACAAGGGGGTAGAAAATTGGGGGAAGAAACTATTGGGGGTGGAGATAGGGCAAGCAAAATAATCGTTACTTGTGCGAACGGCACTCAGGGTTTCGTAGGAGAGCTGGGGTCGTGGATAAGTAATAGATAAGGAGGGTGGAATGGAGCAACTACACAAAATGAAATAAAGGGCTCTTGGGATAAACAAAATAAAAATAAACAAGAAACACCTCAAGGAATTTAATATAGGGCGCCACTTGAGGTGCCTAATTATGCCTATTACAACCACTAGTTGTAACTAGGGAAATAATTAGAAAATAAAATCAAAACATAAAAAACATATCTTTTTCAAATAAACTCAAAAAGGGTTAGCTCAAAAAAAAATAAATAAAAAGTTAAGAAAATAAAATTTAACCTTTATTTATGTGTCACCACAAACAGTTACATGGAGAAATACAAAATTCAAAAACTTACATGTGTCATCCATTAACAAACTCCATTGCTACAAAACTTACAAAATAGCATGGAGGTTAACCTTTTAAAAAAAAAACAAAACAAATCAACATCAAAAATACTAAAACGAGCTGTCATAAATTAACATTAAATTTCAAAAAAAACTAAACACAAATTGACAGCTTTACTCAAAACCTAAAATTTACAATTTTAAATGTCAACGAAAGCAATTATTATTTTATAAAAAAAATGTCTGTCTTTAGTTTAAAATTTGAACAAAATGTTACCTTAATTCACATGATCACACTTAAGTTTCTGAAACCATAACTGGAACTGAGATCCACTCTCTCTGCATCACGAAAACCTCCATCTCCAAACTGCCAAAAGCCTTGGATAAAAGCAGGAACAAAAAAAAAAACGAGGATGTCCTCCAATCCTTACTCAAAATATTAATAATTGAAGCATTTTCTGCCACAAAACCAAAACAAACTGCTACATATTCTTCATAATAAAAGACGAAAACAGAACACTTTACAAATTCGACGTGAATTTGGACATAACGCTGAACCGCTCTTGAACGCCGTTCCAACGAGAGTGACGAGATTATCTATTAAAATTGAACGCATACATACAAACGCTGACATAACAAGACACCACGAAACGACGTACATATCCTTTTGCGACGCATTAAATTGAAAATAAATTGCCGAAGTAAAATAAACAACTCTCAAATGGTTTTATTACTCGGCGACGAAACACTTTTGGGTACTTTGAAAGATATGAACTAACACGGAAAAATTCTTCGTTTCATTTTTTAAAAATATATAAGGAGTTTTTAATATATTTTATTATACGAGGAGGTTTCAATATACTCAAAAGAATCAATGAAATTGAAAATGCTACAACTCCATAACAAATAAAAAATAAACTGAATGCAATTATAACACTAGCACAAGGAATTCAAGGTATTAGGTCGGGAAGATCATGCAACGACGCTCTATTTAATATTGATTATTGCAGCTAATTAATAATGATTTCAAATACTCAATAAAATGTGATCACTTTGAACAAAATTCATTTGTTCGGTGGCGTCTGTAGAAAATGGTCACGGTCAGAGCGAAATTGCGGGAAACGAGATATATGCTCAAGCATGTTTTTGTCAAAAACTTGGATTTGGTGGAGGGTCAGTTATGGGTTATGGCATGGGGAGTTATGGCATTTATCGAGAAAGGGACATTGACTACGCATACGTACTTGACACAGATTTTATAAGACCATGTTTTACCGTTTATGGTTATTCTTTGTACAAAACGCAACATTTATGCATGATAATCCACGGCGCTACAACACACGGATAATTACTGAGTATCTTGATAAGGTTCAAATCACACGATTTGTTTGGTCTGCTCGCAGTCCAGATATGAATCTCATAGAATATGTTTGGGATGAGATGAAGAGACATTTAAGAAGTCATGTGCCGGCCCTCAGAAATTTAAGAGAGCTTTGCGACATGTTGTAGGAATGGAACAATTTTTCATAGAATGTGATCCAAAATTTAGTACAAAGCATGTTTCGTCGTTTGCAAGTTGTTATCACTGCTAGAGTAGTGATAACAGAGAAGTTCTTAAAATTCCTTTAATTTCAACAAAAAACAGATGAAATTAAAATTATTCGTTTTCTATATTTACTATATCAAAGAAAAATTGTTCATTTTCATTACTTTCCGTAAATTTTGAAGGACAAAAACGTTGTTTTCTGTAAGCAATCGGTTAGTAAACTATGTTACAACTAAAGATAGCTAAAAAATAATAATAATTTCTAAAATCAATTCAAATTACGGATGACCCTTAATTTATGCTCGGTATATAAAATATACATTTGTTATTAAATTTTATTAAAAATGTTAGGTCACTTCTAATCTTGCAGCCTCTCGGGCCGGGGTCTATATCAGGTTGCGGGTCCGTGGCATTTGTCGTTCCTGTATCCTATAATTACGACACTGACTTGTATATATATATATATATTATATATATATATATATATATATATATATATATGTCCAATAAGGCTCTGTTCTCTTTAAACATGGTACACTATGTAAAAATTGGGCGTTGGCAAATATAAAACTAATATTTTCACGTACCTTTTAAAACTTCCGTAGATTCACAAGAACCTCCATACTCTATTGGTAATACATCTTGTGGTATGTAAGTAAAAAGTGAATTAATGTCAGAATGTACACGTAGCTAAAAACAAAAAAGCGTTAAACAAGTAAACAAAAAATGTTACATTTAAGTTAGGTAGAAATAATTTTTAACTAGACTATGCTAAACAAGCTCAACTAAAATCAGTCAAATCATCAAATGAAAAGTAAGCAAAAATTGAAAATAAGACTATTGAGTATTACTGTATCCGCTTCCTGAACAATGTTTCCACTCAGGACAATGTTTTACACTCAAACTATAACTCAACTGGTATGACTATAGGTAAGACCTTTGGCTGAAAAAACTATAAAGTCTGGTAAACTATATAAACATTCAAAACAACAAACAAGAGGAATCAGATGACCTATTTCAAAGGTTCAATTAAAGGGAATTGACGTTACTGGGATCCCACGGTACAAATCTTAGAGAAAATTGAAAGTAGCGTTTATACCAATTCCTGGAAAACACACTACACTTTAAAAAAATCATACTAGCCTCAATGTTGGACCTCAATCATATTAAAAACATAAGAAAAATCTTCCATAGAATCCTATGCACCCTCTACATTGAGTGTCGAGTCTCGACCCCAGAGAATAAACCAACCTCACAACTCAACATTCTAATAGATACGTAAGATACATGTAAACTCTAAAAATTTATTCTAGAGCTTGATTCCAGAATTAAAGCAAAGGTTGACTTGTTGCCATGAAGTGAGATCTCAATTTGAGCATCCTATTTAACCTGTTGTTACACCAGCCTTACTACGCCTCTGATTAAACGTCTTTGACATGCGAGGATTCGATCCACAGCTGTCTAAGTATACGCTCAAAACGAGGCGCCGACCCTAGCTCCGACCATAGGATCGTACCATAATCGACCCATAGGTAGAATCAATGCATTATTTTAAATGCGAGCGTTGACTGTTAATGCTATTAACCCAGTCTGCTTATACAAAAATCATCGATTTCACGGCAAAATTTTTCGCAGATATCTCAAGCTTTTAAGACATAGGTGGGGGTTACTACACTTGAGTGCAAAAAAATCGACTCAAAATTATTTTGCGAAAGTACGTCTCCTGTTTCAATCAAAACAGATGTAAATTTAAAAATATTTAGTGTACAATTATTAACCCTAACCTAACCTATTATTAAGTTTGAAAAAAGTTTTGATTTTTGGTAAATCGGGTGAAGTATTACAAATAAATAATGCAACACGTAGAGAGGGGGGGGGGGAAGCAGCTTAAACAGTAGCATTATTGAGAGAAGACCTGAACCAGAGAGCCGTGGTATAATCCGACAAGCGAGAGCTGGCGGGTGAGCTGCGCGAAAATAGAAAAGGAATTATTCTAAGAGAGATAGGAGAGGTACTTAATCGCGATTATAGGTATATAGTATAGGTACTTAAACGGTTATACACGATGTGAACTCCTAGCTGACTGCAATAGAAATGAGCAATCCCTTCCACTTTTCAATTTGTTCTACGCGCAACCCGCCAGCTCTCGCTTGTCGGGTTATAAATCGACTAAATTTAAACCAATTTGCTGTGTCCTGAGTATATCGTCGGTACCAAGATATTGGTAATTATGTCCACCGATAAGGAGGAGGTCGTAAACGAATAACAACAGAAAAATATGATCGATTTCTTGTATCTAAATCTCTGAGAAATCGACATTTGACTGGTGCTAATCTCAAAGAAGAGCTTAGAGAGGTTCAAGGTGTGGTTACCAGCGTTTGTACGGTCAGAAAGAGCCTAAAGGCAGCCAATCTGACACCAAAAAGGACAGCTACTGGTCCCAAGCTAACTGCAGCTCAGAAGCAAACACGACTAGAATTTTCTCGCGAACATCTGGATTGGGACGACTATCAATGGAGTCAGGTATCATTCTCCGATGAAACTAGGATCTGCCTACATGGCGACGACAAGAGGCGTTGAGTCTATAGAAGGCCAGGGGAACGATTTGCTTAATGTTTTATACGAGAAATTGTGTCATATGGCGGCGGTTCTTTTATGTTTTGGGCAGGCATTTCCATGGATGGGAAAACCAAGCTGGCTTTTATGCCTGGGGGGGGGGGGACGTGGAGGAGGTTTAACGGCGGATCGTTACATCAGAGATATTTTGTAGGAACACATGGTCCCATACGCGGGATTTATTGGTCATGCCTTTATTTTATTGCATAATAATGCACGATGTCATACCACACTAGTTACCACCACCTATCTGACTGAGATTGGTATACCTACAATAAATTGGCCTGCGTTGAGCCCGGGCATAAATCCAATACAGCATATTAGGGATGAGCTTAAACGAACGGTCCGGAGTAGAAATTATGCACCAAGGAGTATAGTGGAATTGAGAGCTGCGCTTAATGATGAATGGGAAGCAATGCTTCAAGAATTTATTAGAAAAGTCATCCGATCCATGCGAAATCGATTGTAAAGTGTAATTAGGAATAGGGGTGGTAATATCAAATACTGAAAAACAAAAAATTCATTTTGTAATTGATGATTTCTCTGTTCATTACGTCTTTCTTGAGATAGTTCCAATACTGAATATTTGAGAAACTCTGCTCGTATTGCATATTGTTTTTATAATGCGTCTTCCAAATAATGAAATAGCAGTTTTTGTAAGTTCAATAATAAAGCTACTGTTTGCACATTACATCTTGGTATTTTCATACTTCTTACATTAAAACAGAAGGTGTAATTTCAAATATCGCTTTTGAGTCGATTGTTTTGCACTCAAGTGTAGATGACGGATAGATGAAAAGGTATTCGTATTTTCACCTTGCGTTTTTTTAAACAATAATTTATGGTCACAATTTTATTTTTTGTCTATCAAGTTTTTTCCCTTACATTTTAAATAAACAATAATCATATTATTTTTTTATATCAAGAATATCTTTATTTTCCCGTTTTTTCAATTAAAATTGATAAATAATTTACGGAGATATTTGCAAAAAAGCAGTTTTTTTGCACTAATTTATATATTTTTTTATTTTTTTATTAACAAATTAAAATGTTATTAATACATTTGAACATCGAGAAATTACCGTCTTTTAGATTTATGCGAAATTTCCCCCCGATCAGTCAAATAGTTTAAAAAATATTTAATTTATTTATCCCTGGGGCTAATTATTTAAACTATTGAACTTGCCCAATGAATAATGCTAGACACATTCAGCAAATTTCATAGGATTTTTTAAGACTTAAACTATCTCAGAATTTAAATGCGTATTGCGTTTTCATCGAAATTATTTACAAAATAAACGTTTGAAAAAGGGGTATGTTTTTTACTTATAAACAATTGTAATAACTTCTACATTTTTCAATCTACAGATTTTTACGTACAACCATTGGATAGCTGGTAAAAGAACTCACACTTAAAAAAATCCTTTTATGACCAATAGGAACGAAGTTACCAACTATTTAAAAAAAACATGTTTCTATTATTAAATTTATAAACATTAAGAAGTAAAATTTGCACAAATTTTGAATGCAAATCTAAACTTTATATTGAAACTTATAGCTATAAAATTTATCCAATTTTTCGAAAGTTACAGCCTTTCGAAACAAAGGTACTTTCGAAAGATGGACATAGGAAAGTGGAGGGGAAACTGTTTCAGCTCCACTCTCCAAAATTTCGTCAGTTTCAGTGTAGTGGTTTTAGAAAGGAATATATATACTTATACCTCTTTGAGTAAAATATCTAGTGTATTTTGAACAAAACATTTTAACTATACGTATTTAATTACTTTTTGATTGATTGAAAATTGTAAGTAATATGGAATGAATACTATTGAATGAATAATTAATTATTTTCAACTTGTATAATCAATGAAAAATATTATTTATTATAGATTATTTCAAAATAAACAGTAGCCTGTGGCATTATCTTGTTCAAGCAGTAGTAGTTTCAAAGTAAGTATTTTCCTTTTTAATTTTTGATCCACTAGTTTTGAACCAATTTATACTCTATATAATTTAATTATCGAGGAGACATTAAAGCACGTTACATGCAAATGCACCACAGGTTGCAAAACTACTAGATGTGGTGCAGAAAACTTGGTTTGAATTGTACGAACTTGTGTATAAATCTACTGACGAAGAAGCAGAGGAGAAAATATACTGCAACCTCAATACAGTTACGTTTGATTGAAGTCGAATGATTGAACCAAATTTTAACTTTTAAACCAACGTATGTAAAGATAATAAAAAAAGTAAAGTTCAATAAACATCGCAAAATTTAATAAGACAAGTGATGAAAAAATCGACTTATTTTATCAAAGCAATGACGCAGATTAGATTATTATTGTATATCATATTTGTACAAAAAATGGAATAAAAATCAATATTGTTAATTATAAAAATACAAAAAATTTTAATTAATATAAGGAATATAATAATATAATGCGTAAAAAAATACCTGAAATTTAATTTATAAATATTTTAATATTTATAAAATATATAAGTATTATTACATCATTGATATGATGATATGATTGATATCAACATGACAAAAATATATGTTGATTTTCCGGGATTTTCTGAGAAAAAAAGTAAGTTTTTACGGTGAATTTCAAATGGACTCAATTTTTTCGAGGTTTCCCATATTTTCTAGCCAGGGAAAACTATGTAGTTGTTCATATTTCTACGAGCTACCCCAGAATAAAAAATGAGACTTCCAGATGCAATGAAAGCCGAGATAACGTAAATTTTTCCTACGTGTTTCAATTTGAAGTTCCAAAGTCAAAAAAAAACGGAGCTGAAACAGTTATCCTTTCGTTTTGAAAGGCTGAATTTTCGAAGAATTGGTTGAATTTTATAGCTATAAGTTTCAATATAAAGTTTAGATTTTCATTCAAAATTTGTGCAAAATTTTACTTCTTAATGTTTATAAACAATGGAGAAATGATTTTTTAAAAATCGTCGCTAACTTCGTTCGTATTGGTAATAAAGGTTTTTTTTGTTAAATGTGAGTTTATTACCAGCTATTGAATGGTTGTACGAACAAGTCTAACTTAAAAAATGTGAAGTTATTACAA